CGTTATTTTGTCTATTTTACAAAAGGAAAAGGACCTAACCTAACCTAACCTAACCTAATAGAAAACTAATTTATGGATGTTAGTGCTCTATTCAACCTATTATAACCTAACTCACTTTTCTTAATTAATTGATCCAAATATAATGTTAAAATGACTCATTCTCATTAACCTTCTATCAGTGTAATATAATTAACATCTAACATTATTTTGTCGATGGAATAATTAACTTGGTTTGCGTAAGTTAATTATACTAATTATTTCATTAACATAGACTGAAAATAGATGAATTAGTTGATAAAGAATAAATGTATGGAAAGAAAGAATATTAATTAGATAGTTATAGTGACTGACGGATAGACAAGTGAACAGACAGAAAGGAAAACATGGATAGACAGAATCATGCTAAATATTCAGGTATGGAGCAAACAAAATTGGCACACTGGTGGATTACCTAACTAAGAGATAAACGGAATTAATAAAGAAGTAGACAATGGCACTGTGGACTGTAGCACTCTAACAGTGATCCTCTAACTGTAGCACAGTAACTGTAGCTCTGCAACTTCGGTACTCTGAGGCACTGTAACTGTGGTACAATATCTGTGGCAAGAAAACTGTGGCACTATAACTGTGGTACTTTACATATGGCACTGTAACTGTTGCACTGTAACTGTGATACTGCAACTGTTGTACTGTAACTGTGATACTGTAACTGTGACACTTGTTACGGTCATCTCCCCTTTCCCTCTGTATTTGTTTCAGTTACCCATTGTATTTAGTTTTATTGTGTCCCGTTTTTCTTTAGAATCGAAATCACAAGCTTATGGTAAAGACTTAAAAATGTCTTGATTATTTTTATATAAGTATGTACTGTATACTAGTATTTATTTCATTATGTAAATTTTGTAGAATGTATTTTTATTCTTGGTACAATTATGAAAGACTGTAAGAAGCAGGTGTGAAGTATAAGAAGAATTAGAAATTATATGGTGATGAAACAAGAAAGTATTGGAACATTTTTGTTTTGGCGACGCTCTCTCTGTAGCTAGGTTGAGGAGGATAGGAGGGTCAAGTTTGTGTGGTGCACATTTATCTATTATTATCTGGGCAATCATGGATAATAATGGTGTTAACTAAAGTGTAATATGTTCATTATAGTCTAAAGAATATTACAGTAGTGAGAGAGCATTGTATTTGGTGGAGATAACATTATTTTGAGTGAATTGATATGTTGCCTTTTTGTATGTGCATGGATGGAGAACAAATATTCATTATATTTTGTTGTTAAATATATTTTGTTGTTTCGTTTAAAGATGTGTTTTGATTAAACCAGTTATAATGGGAACAGTGGTTTTAAAATAAACACCCGTCAGCTGTCAGGAGATTGTTAGCCAAAAATAAGGTAAGGGTCTGTGTTTAACATTTAATCTCTCTGTTAACAGAAGCTGTTATTTCAGAGTCTCCTCTGATATAATGGGCCTATGGGCTGATTATACATCCTCTGGTGAGTCCTAGAAGAGGGTGTGAAGGTTGTAACATGGGGGCCTGTGTCCGAGAGGGATTGAGTCAAGTATACTGATTGTCCCAGTGTAACCAAACTGTACCGAAGTGTAAACAAGTAAGTGTTAATACTTGTATAAAAATTGTGCGGTTAGGTGATTACTGTGAAAAATTAGAAACATGGCAGGAAATATTGATAAATTTCAGGAACCAATGATGTTCACTTTTTGTACCAGTGTAATAAGGAGGAACTAATTGAGGTGGCATCTAGGTATGAAATTTCTCTGAGGTCATATATCAAAAGTGATATGCAGAGAAAGTTAATTGATGAAGTGGTGTCTTTGTCAATATTGGAGGAAGTTGAAGGCGTTGGTAATTTTAGTGGTGGTTATAAACAGTTAAGTGAACAAGTGGCAATGGAGAAGTTAAAATTAGGAATTCGAATTTTAGAAAATGCATTTAGAGGTAGAAAGAGAAAAGGAGAAGATACAGGCAGATAAAGATGTAGAACTGGGAAATTAGAAGTAGAGGAGAGGGCAGGTATAAGGAGAGGAAATGGAGATAAAGATAATAGAGTATGTCATTCACCTGAGTTTTTGGAAGAAGATGCTGAGGACTTATTTACTCAGTTTGAAAAAGTTGCAACTATTAAAGAATGGGACAAAAGTGACTGGGCAATATTGGTGAAGAGTAAATTTAAGGGTAAGGCCAGAAAGGCGTATGCGTGTCTGAGTATGTCAGAGTCTGTGGATTATGAGGCGTTAAAGAAGCACTGTTGAAGACGGTGGAAATTGATCCAGAAATGTACAGGAGAAGGTTTAGGGACATTAAGAAAGTGAGTGGACAAACTCATCTTGAAGTGGCTAGAGAAAGTGGGATGAGATTTGATAGATGGTGTAAGTCTGAGGAAGTAAAGACTGTGGATGACACAAGACAGTTAGTCCTGCTGGAGCATTTTAAAAGTTTTGTGCACCCTGAAATTAAGTTTGAAATAAGTAAGAATAGAGTGAAGAATTTGATGGATGCGGCTAGGTTGGCTGACCAGTTAGCAGTGGTACACAAAATGTATATGGAAGAGGTATCACATAAACAAGGTGGAGTAAGGCATAATAGAAGCCAGAATTATGACAGTATCATAACTATTTAAATGTTAAGCAGCCTAGTCCAAATTATTCTAAAGGAGGTCCACCCCAGGTGTCACAAAATACTGTTGGGAATAGATCACAAGGACAAACACAATATAAACATCCAAGACCTCAGTCCAATTATAACCCTTATGTTAGTAGACAGGAGAGACCACCAATAAAATGTTTTGTTTCTGGAGAAATTGGCCATGCTAAATATCAGTGTCAGAGTGGCCCAAAGTCTGCGGCATTAACTATTGCGGGAAGGCCGCGGAATATTTGTAATGTAAGAGGTAACGAGTACAGTGTGAGTAAGCCAAAATCTGTGATTTTTGAGCCATTTATTAATGAAGGAAAGGTTGGGATTAAAGGTAGTCCTGAGAAAAAAATAATAATATTGAGAGATACTGGAGCAAATCAGAGTGTGATTTTGAAAAATGTATTAGAGTGGACAGATGAGTCTTACTCTGGTGAAGAAGTGAATTTAAGAGGATTAGGTTCAGGGATGACTGTCCCATTACATAATGTAAATCTTGAGAGTGGATTTGTGAGTGGCATTGTAAAAGTTGGGGTAAGTGTTGAACTTCCCGTACCTGGAGTACAGATGTTATTGGGTAATGATTTTGCTGGCGACAAGGTGGTCCCAGAGCCTATTATGTGTGAAAATCCATTTGATGAAGAGGCTACTATAGAGGTGGACCATGTTGTGAAAAATGAAGATGTGTTGGATGATTCGAAGAAGTGTAAACCTGATGTTGAAATACAGTGTATTGAAACTGTGTACCCAGCTTGTGTTGTGGCCGGGGCAATATGTCAAAGAGAAGAGAAGAGTTTGATGATGATTTGGGAATAGGTGATATATTTAGTAAAGAGGATGTTATGACCACAGATAATAAAGGAGAGTTGGAAAATATTAAGGAGTGTACTGAGGAAGCAAAAATTTATGTACTACCAGATTTTGTTGTGGACAAGGAGGAATTAGTAAGGTTACAGAACAGTGACGAGAGTTTAAGGGAATGTTGGAGTGAAGCTAAGAGAAATGGGGGTGAGAGTGATGTATCAATTGGATTTTGTGTACAAAGTGGTGTGTTATTGAGAAAGTGGAGGCCTGTTGATGTTCCAGCAGCGGATCATTGGGAGGCTAGGAAGCAGATTGTTATTCCAAAGGAATATAAGGAACATGTTATTGCTTTATCCCATGATTCTTGTTTGTCTGGACATTTGGAAGTCAGGAAGACAACTGACAGGCTACTAACTCATTTTTATTGGTTTAATATAAAGAAAATGTATCTGAGTACTGTAAAACTTGTGAGATATGTCAGAAAGTCAGCCTAACCAGATTATACAGCCGACACCACTGAAGCCAATTCCTGCATTTTGTAAGCCTTTTAGCAGAATTGTAAATGATTGTGTAGGTCCTTTGCCTAAATCACAGAAGGGAAATAATTATCTGTTGACAATAATGTGTGTGTCTACCAGATTTCCAGAAGCTGTACCATTATGTATCATACATTCTAAAAATATTGTAAGAGTGTTAGTGAGATATTTCTCCTAGGTAGGCCTGTCTGAAATTATTCAGTCAGACCAGGGAAGTACTGTAATTTCTCTTCAGGAATGTTTAAAAGTATATTAAAGGGATTACATATAATGCAAACTTTGTCAAGTGCTTATCACCCGCAAACCCAAGGAGTTGTGGAAAGGTTCCACCAGACTTAAAAAAAATACTTTAAGAATGTATTGTGAGGAATTGTCTGTAGATTGGGATGAAGGCGTGCCTTTAGCGTTGTTTGCCATTAGAGATGCTGTACAGGAGTCTACAGGTTTTAGCCCATTTGATTTGGTATGTGGACATGAAGTGACAGGCCCATTAAATATGCTGAAGGAGAAGTGGATTGGGAAAATTGATTCTCATGGGTTATTGAAGTATGTATTAGATTTCAAAAACTGATTGTTTTGGGCTGGAGAGATTACTGCAGAAAATTTTTAAAGAGAATCAGGAAGATATGAAAAGGTGGTATGACAAGAAGTCAAGGAGTAGAGAGTTCAAACCTGGTGACCAAGTGTTGGTATTGTTGCCACAAACAGGAAATCCATTGAAAACCAAATTTTGTGGTCCCTGAGTGATTGAAAAAAGAGTGGGAGAATTTAACTATATTGTAAATACTGCAGTAAGATGCAAGTCATGTAAACATGATAAAACCATATTATGATAGAAACTCTACAGAAAATGATGTGAATAACAAGGTGAATTGTTTATGTGTCAGGCCTTATGCTGAAAAGATGATAGATGAAAGTGAAGATATTAAGTTGGGGTGATGTGAAAATAAACTGTTAAATAATTCAGGTATGTTGAATAATTTAGAAAAGAAACTTGATCGCTTATGAACTGAGAAGAGAAATTAAATCATACAAATGGTACATGAGTTTAGGCCTTTGTTTTCTGATGTTCCTAGGAGAACTGAGGTATTACAGCATGATGTTGAGGTTGAAAATACAACACCCATTAAGCAACACCCATATAGAGTGAATCCTAAGATGAGAGATATAATGAGAAAAGAAGTACAGCACTGTATATGCTTGATAATGATATGATTGAAAGAAGTAACAGTCCTTGGAGTTCACCGTGTGTATTGGTGACTAAACCTGATGGTATTTCATATAGATTTTGTACTGATTACAGAAAAGTAAACAATGTAACCAAAGCTGACTCATATCCTATTCCAAAAGTGGATGATTGTATTGAGCAGATAGGAGATGCTAAATTTGTAACTAAGATGGATTTGTTGAAAGGATATTGGGAAGTACCACTGACTGAAAGAACGAAAGAAATTTCTGCATTTGTGACTATGGATGGTTTATATCGGTATATAGTGTCACCTTTTGGTATGAAAAACAGCGGTAGTACTTTCCAAAGATTAGTTAAACAAGTATTGTATGATGTTAAAGGTTGTTCTGTGTATATAGGTGATATTGTACTGTATTCAAAAACTTGGGAAGAATATTTGTATATAATCAGAGAATTACTTAACAAATTGAATCAAGCAAACTTAACTGTAAACCTTGTGAAGAGTGAATTTGCTCAAGCAACTGTAGAATATCTAGGTTATGTTGGTCAAGGAAGTGTCAAAGTAATTAATGCTAAGGTGGAAAGTATTGTGACGAAGCTCTTAAAAAATTGAAACAGATACTTATAAGTGCACCCATACTTTCTACTCCAAATTATGACAAACCATTTAAATTGTATGTAGATGCTAGTGATTATGGACTTGGTGGAGTTTTAATGCAAGAGAAAGATGATGCTGAGTATCCTATTTATTATTTTTCAAAGAAGTTTCTTTTGTATCAGAAAAACTATAGCACAATTGAGAAAGAAACATTGGCATTGATTTTAAGTTTGAACCATTTTGATGTTTATTTGAGGGGGTCAGGCATACCGATCCAAGTTTTTACGTATCACAATCCCCTGGTATTTTTGCACAAGGTTAAAAATGTAAACCAACGTTTGACAAGGTGGAATCTATTGTTAAATGAATATGATTTGATTATTAAACATGTTAAATGAAAGTTGAATGTCGTGGCTGTTGCACTGTCCCGTATTCCAGTTAGTCATGAGTCATCCTGCGGCTAACTCGTTCCTCTTTTGGGAGGGGATGTTACGGCCATCTCCCCTTTCCCTCTGTATTTGTTTCAGTTACCTATTGTGATTAGTTTCTATTGTGTATGTATACTAGTATATGTTTCATTATGTAAACTTTGTGGAATGTATTTTTATTTTTTGTACAGTTATGACAGACTGCAAGAAGCAGGTGTGAAGTATAAAAAGAATTAGAAATTATATGTTTATGAAACAAGAAAATATTGGAAAAAAAATTTTTGGCGACGCTCTCTCTCTAGCTAGGTTGAAGGGAATAGGAGGGTCAAGTTTGTATGGTGCATATTTATCTATTATTATCTGGGTAATCATGGATAGTTATGGTGTTAACTAATGTGTAATATGTTCATTATAGTCGAAAGAAGAGCATTGTATTTGGTGGAGATAACATTACAGGTATTTTGAGTGAATTGGAGAGCACATGTTCATTTTATTTTGTTGTTAAATATATTTTGTTGTATTGTTTAAAGCTGTGTTATAATTAAACCAGTTTTATTGGAAACAGTGGTATTAAAATAAACACCCGTCAGCTGTCAGGAGATTGTTAGCCAGAAATAAGGTAAGGGTCTGTGTTTAACATTTAATCTCTCTGTTAACAGAAGCTGTTATTTCAGTCTCCTCTGATATAATGGACCTATGGGCTGATTATACATCCTCTGGTGAGTCCTAGAAGAGGGTGTGAAGGCTGTAACACTGTAACTGTGCCACTCTACATATGGCACTGTAACTGTGGTACTGTAACTATGGCTCTGTAACTGTGATACTATAACTGAGATACTATAACTGTGGCACTGTAACCGTTGTACTGTAACTATGGCACTATAACTGCGATAATGTAACTGTAGCACTGTAACTCTGACACTGTACCTGCGGCACTATAACTTTTGTACTGTAACTATGGCACTATAACTGTTGTACTGCAACTATGGCACTGCATCTGTGATACTGTAACTGTAGCACTGTAACTCTGGCATTCTTCTTGCGGCACTATAACTCTTGTACTGTAACTCTTAACTGACTACTGTATCTTTGGCTCTCTACCTTGTACTGTAACTATGGCACTGTAACTGTTGTACTGCAACTATGGCACTGCATCTGTGATACTGTAACTGTAGCACGGTAACTCTGGCATTCTTCTTGCGGCACTATAACTCTTGTACTGTATCAATGATACTGTATCTTTGGCTCTCTACCTGTGGCACTGTAACTGTTTTATTGTAGCTATGACACTGTAACTGTGGGACTCAATGATACTATAATTGTGATACTGTAACTGTGTTATTGTATCTGTTGTACTGTAACTGTGGCACTATAACTGTGGGACTGTAACTGTGGCACTCTAACTGTGGCACTGTAACTGTGATACCGTAACTGTTGTACTGTAACTGTGGCGCTATAACTGTTGTACGCTATCTGTGGCTCTATAACTGTGGCACTGTAACTGTAGCACTATAGCTGTGGCACTGTAACTGTGACAGTGTAACTGTGGCATTTTACAGTAACTGTGGCACAATAACTGTGACACTATAACTGTGGCACGATAACTGTGGCACTATAACTGTGGCATTATAAATGTATCACTTTAACTGTGGCACTCTACTTATGGCACACTGTACCTGTGGCATTATGACTGTGGCACTATAAGAGTGGCGCTATAACTGTGGTACTATAACTGTAGCGCTCTCCCTGTGACATTATAACTGTGGCACTATAAGAGTGGCGCTAAAACTGTGGCGCCTATAACTGTGGCACTATAACTGTGGCACTATAACTGTGGCACTATAACTGTAGTACTACAACTGTGGCACTATAGCTGTTGTACTATAATTGTGCCACTATAACTAGTACTATAACTTTGGTACTGTAACTGTGGAAACCTTAACTGCGGCACTATAACTGTGGTCCTGTAACTGCGGCACTATAACTGTTGTCCTTTAACTGTGACACTCTAACTATGGCACTATAACTGTGACACTATAACTGTGGCGCTATAACTGTGACACTATAACTGTGGCACTCTAACTGTGATGCTGTAACTGTGGCACTACAACAGTGGCACATTTCCTGTGGCACTCTAGCTGTGATACTCTGTATCGCTAAAACTGTGGTACTCTGACTGTGGTACTATAACTCTGGCAGTCGTAATTTGGCACTATAGCTTTGGCACTATAACTGTTGCACCCAAACTACGGCACTATAACTTTGGTCCTAAAACTGTAACTCTCTAACTGTGGCATTATAGCTGTAGTACTGCAACTGTGGCACTGTAACTAACACTCTCCCTCTAGCACTATAACTGTAGCACTATAACTGTTGCGCTATAACTGTGGCACTCTACCCGTGGCACTATAACGTGCCACTATAACTGTAGTACTATAGCTTTGGCACTATAACTGTGGCACCCTAACCGTGCCATTATATCTGTGGTCCTCTTACTGTGACATTCTAACTGTTGCACTATAACTGTGACATTATAACTGTGGTATTCTAACTATGGCACTATAACTATGGTACTCTAACTGTGGCACTATATTTGTGAAAATATAACTGCAGCACTATAACTGTGGTCCTCTAACTGTGACACTATAACTGTGGCAATATAATTGTGAAACTATAACTGTGGCACTATAACTGGGACAACACTACCTGTGGCACTATAACTGTGGCACTCTACCTGTAGCACTCTAACTTTGATACTGTAACGGTGGAACTGTAACTGTTGCACTATAACCGTGGCACTCTAACTGTGATACTGTAACTATAGCATTATAACTGTAGCACTATATCTGTGGCCCTATAACTCCGGTACTGTAACTGTGGCAATATAACTGGTACCGTAATAGTGACACTATAACTGCAGCACTATGTCTGTGGCACTCTAACTGTGGCACTATAATTGTTGCACTATAACGGTGATACTGTAACTGTGGCACTATAACTGTAGCACTATATCTGTGGCACTCTAACTGTGGCACTGTGACAATGGCATTATAACTCCGGTACTGTAACTGTGGCACTGTAAATGTTCTCATGAATCCTTAGTAGATATTATTTGGGATTACGGAGAGTTCCAGTGAATCAGGTATTAGTAATTTCATTGAAGCTCATATAAATCCAGGTGTATTGTATATGTTATATATTAATCAATTTATTTGGACCATTTTGTAGTAATATGATATGTAAAATGCATTTACTTAATTGATTTATTCTAATTAGCTAGTGTCTGCATAACAGCCATTAGACTAGTTACCGTGTCTCCGGTAATGAACTCCTGAGGACCTATGGAACTATGATACTATAACTGGTACTCTAACTGTGGTATTCTGTGTGGCACTGTAACTGTGGTACCGTAACTGTAGCACTGTAAATGGGAAAGTTAATGTTTGTGAGCCAGTGTTGTGTTACTTCAGTAATTATTGTGGTTCTATTCTAATGATGAGCTTACGTAGATTTTAATATAGCAAATCATTTGTTAACCTAATGTAATTTGGCTTACGTTTGTAACAAGTCTCCATTTGTGGTGTGAGAGTGATAATGGTGAAGGAGCTGATTTTTTATCCCTTATCCTTATCTGCCTCTATTTTTTCCACCTTTCTATCTCTTCCTATCTATCTCTGTCTCTCACTCACGTTTATTGTGTATCTCTCTCTGTCTTGTTCCTTTAAGTTTCTTCTATTTCATCTCCCTCACTCGTTCTTATTATATCTGTCTCTCAACATCTTTCTCTCTCTTTT